TCTTGGAGACTGCATCCAACCATTCAATGCCAAATGAATACGACTTTATAAGGCATGTGTAGTGTACGATATGCCTTTATATGCATTAATACATTCGGTAACACGCTCTTGAGTACATTAACAGACATAGCTTGGTTTTGAAGTGGTATTATCAACCCGGGGGCCCCCTTCACTGGCTAGGCATGGTGGCGTACGCCTGTAATCAAACTACTTGGGGGCCAGGGTGCGGAATTTCGCGGGACCAGGAGTTTTGGCAATTGGGTGCTCATGTCGATCAGCGCTAAGCACGGCGCCGATATAGATGACCTGTCGGAGGACGGGTTGTCCAGGTCGACTGAGGAAAGGCGCACTGGCCCAGGGGGGAAACCCAGCAGGCAAACGTCCCTGCGTGGTGAGGTAGCGAAATAGCGCCTGTGAATGGCGGCTATGTGGCAGCCCGCCCCTCGCGTGGAGACCACCTCCTCTCTTTGCGTCGGTGGCATAGTGGTTAGGACGCTCGCCGACCATGCACATGGTCCGGGGTTCGATCCCCGGCCACAGACGCACTCCTTTACCTCACTAAGTCAGAAATAATGCTGGTAAAGACGATAGGTTAAGCATGAGGCTAGCAACCCCATCCTGTAAAAATAAACACTGCTACAGAAACTTCAAGCCACTAGCTTGAGCCGCTATTTTCAACTGGGAACGTGAAGGAAAAAAATTATCAAATATCTAAGGAATCCTTGCTGATTTTGAAGTACACAGAGTTTCCGTAGTCCCACATAATAGGTGTTATACTTTAAGGGTAAAATAAAAAGACGCAGTGATTCATTTTTCGAAATTAGCATTTTTTAGTGAAATACTGCCATGCTGCATAGTACTGATAAATTATTAATCTGAGCTTAAATAACACTTTAGTGCTTTGATCAGTTACCAACGCGTGAAGGGTTGATCTTTCATTTTTCATGACGACTTATTTGATAAGAGATAATCTAGAATTGAAAATATCATTTCATTTATTAGGGTGTCACTTAATTTGGTACTGTATCGTCGATTTACGGGAGCTGAACTACAGCATGCTATTAGTATTGCAGAAATATTTATCTACACCATGAATCTACTGCATAAAAAGGTATTTTATTTCGACTGGCGGAAATTTTCATCTTACTAATTCAAACTTCGGCTGACGCACTGCTCAACCTCACCTAACTAGTTAGTATTAAGACCGGTGAAGAGGGAGAGTCAGGCGTGAGGCTAGTGACACTATCCCACAAAACAATATCATCTCTTCTGAAACACCAAAAGCCTGAATCTTGAAGTCCTATATTACAAAAGAATGTTCCACAAAAGAATAAAAAAGTTCAGACTTTGATTATTAAACAGGAAATAAATTCTATAACGAGTGTGCTTATTAGGTATATAATATAGTAAGACGATAGACGTCTTTGAGGAGTATTTTGAAGTGCAGTTTTTACTTATGTTCAGATTGAGCCGGTGAATGGAAGGATGAAAGTCTTATGTCTTGATATGCTTAATAATAATAAGTTTCTTATCTAAAAGGTAACATGTATATCTAAACAGTAGATATATTTGATCACTAGTAAGAACCTGACTAAACTTATTCCAACTGATATACCAATACAAACTGAAATCTCGAATTTTGATATAAGCGGCTTATTTTTCGAACAGTACGGCTATACGGAACTGCAATATTCAAGCCTATTTAATAACACCAATTAGAGATTAGTTATATAGTTCTCCTTTTGCCCAACTAGGTATTCTGTAGGAGGACTAGCCAGAAACCTTTAGCCCAAGACACCTACAGAAGAATGCAGTGATGATTTGAAAATACTATGAGGAGGTCTCTAAGTGACACAATGTACTAGGCCTTCGAATATATCCTGAATGGGAAGGTGAGAGTTAGGCATCAAGTGCGGAGGAAACGGAGACGTGTGGACAGTCGTATAGCCGGCTAAAATAGCCGGTGGAGAACCGACTGGGATGCAGACTTGCCTCCCTAGACCTACTATGTTCCACTCAGGATACGAGAAACGAATAAAAATTCTTATAGTTTTTATTTGGCGTAAATGGCTGTAGGCAAACAACGCACGGTGTAACTCAGCACTGATGTACTACTTTTCAAAGTCATTAGGAAACGGCAATTAAACCGCTAAAAGAATATTTATTAAACGGTATATTTAGCTGACACGGGGTAAACAAACTAATTCTTTCCAACCCCTCCTCTTAAAGTTCATAAACTCTTGCATCCTACCTATTCTTCTTTATTGTTCACATTTATTCTTTCCCGGTTTGCTTAAAAAGCACTATGTCACAATTCGTAGAATGCTGAAGACGGCCAGTAGGGTGAGTGGTGTCCCAGTGGACCACATAGTCAACCTCATTGTCGATAGGCACTTGGCTTCGTGCAACAAATTTGCTAGAGGGATTTTGTCTGACTTGGAGCATCCACTTTACCCTCAGCCTTCACCTTGCATCTCCTCAGGTAGAACAAGGAGTAACTTCAGAAAACTGTATGCTCGCACGTCTAAGTATAAGAATTCTATGATACCGTACTTGTCACGTATTTTATGTGATGAAAATAGTGTCAGGCAAGAACTAACTAACCTTTTTTCATCTAGTAAATAAACAATATCCTCCATCCATCCATCCTTATATACCTTCAAGTTTTAATTTTATTATTTCTATTATATTTATGGTCCTGTTGCCTCTTTGTATGTTTTACTCTTATAATTGCAAGCACCAACTTATCTCTATGACTGCTGTAATCTTTGTTTTTCCCCTCACCATATCATGTAAAGAGAACATTATATTCAATATTTTTAAACATTCTAGGATTTTACACCGCATCGACAATACTGTGTGAAACAAGCCCACCTCAATTTTCACTCGTATTATTATTACCTTAGCTTTTATCATTATTATTATTTCCATTTTATGTGCTGCATGTTTCTGACATTACCCCTATTGTAGATTGTGGAAGATTTTCCGTGTGATTAATTTTATCTATAATTTGAGGAAATTAGATGCAGTATTGTGATTAATGCTGAAAATTCCATTCTGTATCACAAGTACTGTTTTTGGAATAAAGTAAATCATTATTATTATTATTTAAAAACGAACAGTGCAAAGTTGAAAATTAGAAATCAATCTTGATTTAGTTGTCTGAGTTAAGTTGTTGCTCGAATACCGACAAGTATCAGTCAGGGTTTTAGATCACCTCATTCCACCTAGTCAGTCAGCCTGATGAATAATAGACAATGAATGCGTCTGTGCTAATGACAGCGACTTTTGGGCCATCTTATCAAGAGTCTCAAGCCGTTTGAACTTATGGTTTCAATGATTCCAGCCAGACAGTTTATAGCTCTAAAGGTTGATGGACTGACGTCACATTTTGGTTTCACAACTAACTCCAAACCCTTTCTTCAACCTGCCTATAAGTCAGCTGTTCTTGTACGAAGAGGAACGCGATGATAAAACCAACTTAACATGTATTCTAGCCATCTGATAAAATAGAAATACCCAATCTCTTGGATTAGCCCTCCTTCACCATATCTTACCATCTAAAAGAGTTAACATAACCTAAACATCTATGCTCGAGAACGACGGGCCTAACAATGAAAAAAATGTATGACCTATATAAGTATACATTCACCTGACTTGAGTCCTGGTGAGTGCATTCTGCAATCTACGAATGTTTGGCATGCGATTCGCTCCCGCCAAATGCAAGATAATGTTACAGGACTGGACTACATCGACGCCTAGTTTAAAAATAGGAAGTGAAGTGGTAGAGCACGTTGACCGCTTCACTTATTTGGGAAGTACCATCAGCCAGTGCCAACGGGCTGATCTCTGACGAAATCTCAGCATGAATACAGGGGGCTCGTTTCGCATTTGCCAGTTTACGCCAACTCTGGCGTAGACGAGATGTTCGACTATCGACCAAAGGGCGGGTGTACTGCTCATCAGTCCGCTCCGTCCTCCTTTATGGTTGTGAGACCTGGCCACTGAGAGTGGAAGACATAAAAAGACTAGCTGTCTTTGATCATAGGTGCCTGCGCTCTATTTCCCGTGTAAAGTGGCATAATAAGGTGAGCAACATTGAGGTTAGGCGTCGAGTTCTAGGTAAACAGGGGAAATCAATCGACGAAGTCGTGAAGTTACAAAGACTGAGATGGTTAGGACATGTGTTACGTATGCCAAGCCATCGCCTCCCTCGACGAGCAATGTTAGCGGATATAGGGTTAGGCTGGAAAAAAGCTAGCGGCGGTCAAACAAAAACTTGGCACTAGTCAATGAAATCCACAACAGTTGGTCTAAGCCACGTAGGAAGGTGTAGACTTCCAGGCTGGGGTCCTCGGGACGGTAAAAATCTATGGTTGGAAAGAATTGGTGACATGGCTCAAAATCGTTCTCAGTGGCGCAGATGCATTCACTCCTTGTGACTTATGATCTCCAATGAAACTGTTTTGTTCTTCGTTATTACTCCTCCTTTGTCTCACACCTCTGCTCACTGTTTCTATTATGCTTTTCTTGTACTTTCTTCTCTTGCTTCGCGTGCTACACGGAGTGTGGCGACTTGAACTTCCGCACATTTGTGCAGAGTTCTATGTCGAAAACAGACAGACAGTGCATTCTGCTGAAGATCCTTAAACTAGAAAAAAACAGCTTTTGCAGTACTCCCCGGTTTTCAGTGGTTCTCTAACTAATATTAGTCCACAGTCAAACTTAAAATATAACTGAGTCGAATCCATGAAATAACACAAATGAAATTGACATAAGGTTCATTTTGCTTTTAATTCTTAACAATATTAATGTTTGAAAGAAAGGAAATGTTGAATAGAGCTTACATTTGAAATAAAGATAGTTGAAGATAGAATGTTGTAACTCTTTGGTAAATATTACACATTTAGTTACACTTCATCAGAATATTACTTCATTGCTGTGTAAAAGTAAGTGTAAAATAGAGGAATGAGTAATGGGAAGGTTAATGAATGGTGTTACACAACTGTGAAAGCAAATTTTGTAACACACCTGTGTATGATTCCAAATACATTTAATTGTATATTAATTACACCAGGTTGTGTTATTTTATGTCTCTTTATTTCTTCTTATAATTTATATACGTTTATAATCTCTTCGCAAAGAATTTTAAGACCATGTAAAATCTACACTGCTACCAAGTTGTCCAGATTTCTTCTCCTCCATTTGTCTTTCTTTGCGTTTACTGCTAGACGCTTTCTGTGCATTCTTCACTTGATGGTTCATTTCTTCTTCACTTCGTACATTTGCATTAATATGCCTACTGTTACTTTCACCAGTACCAGTACCCAAATGTCTTCGTTCTTCAAAGATATTTCCATAAACATCAAAATAGTTATTAAGAAATCGTTTTGAATAGGCCTTCTTTTTACCACGGTTTTTAAATTTCGATTTTTTAATTTGACGTCTTCCATACTTATCATATGAACCTTTTAATCGAAAATTAGATGATTTCACTGATAAACTATCATACTCTCCTCTGCCGTTTTTCTTAACCTTTCCGTCAACCGTTATATTCCCTTTGCCTTTTTCTGCATACTTGTTTTGAAAACCTTGAGTATCCAAAGTAAATTCAAATTCTCGTTCATCATCTGTTTGATCATTTCTAGAGGATTTGTGTTGTGTACCCATAGAAACGTCAATTTTCTTCGTATCTTTACTTGTAGTATTTCTGTTAATATCTGTATTTTTTCCAAGGGTAACCGTTGAAACATGAGGAAAGTATACTGAGGATAATAGTAACAGTAATAAATATATTAAAGATTTATTTATCATATTGTTTTTCATTGTCAATTATTAAGACTTTGATATTTAAACATTTTTTTGGTTTTTTAGTTTTTTATATATATATACTTTTTAAATTGAATTGAAGAAATGACTTTGCTTTTAATGTTCGCAATTTGCCTTATAAAAGTTGCACTTGGTTACAATTAAGTTTATTGATTTTGTCACATTGTTATTCTTCTACGCTGACTGTTTGGCTAAATAACGCAGTGACTTCTAAAGTGAGGAGAAAAAAAAATAAAATAAAATGAAAATTTTAAAATAAGCAGATTTTGTGAGTATATCTGGTGGTCTTATGGTAAAAACTGCTTGGCGAAATTTAAATGCGTCTTCTGACAGTGCTTCGTTAATACTTTATAATATTATTGCCTAAGTTAATCTTTTTCAAAGTCGATGAAATTGAGATAGAGAGGTGACTGCCATTCCAAGCTTTGCTCAATGATGATCCGTAAAGTGACGATTTGATCAATACGCGACTTGTTTCTCCTGAATCCAGCTTGCCCGGTCGAAGTTTTTCATCCAGGTTAGCTTGTTTGATTCTCTCCAGGATGATACGGCTTAGTATTTTGCTTGGGATGAATGGGAGCGTAATTCCTTGCCAGTTCTTGCATTGACTTAAGTCTCCTTCCTTTGGTAGTTTGAATAAGTATCCTTTTTTCCAATCCCCGGGTACTTTGCCCCATTTCTACACCTTCCCCAGTAGTGGTGTCATCAAGTCCGCTGTTGTCTCTGGGTCCATTTTCGATGCTTCTGCTGGGATTCCATCTGGTCCTGCTGCTTTTCCAGCTTTTAGCATCTTGATTGCATTCAGGACTTCTGATTTCATCGGGGGGTCAATGTTCACTGGTAGATCTGCTTCCGTTGTTGGTATTGTTGGGCGTGTTGTAGGTGGCTGTCGATTTAGAAATCTCTTGAAGTGTTCAGCCCAGTCTTTTCTTTGCTCCACTTCTTTGGTGGTTGACTTTCCATTGTCATCATTGACTGGCTTAATCTGTGTCGAACGTTTGCTCGATAGGTTCCTAGTTGTTTGGTATAGTGTGGCGAGGTCTCAATAGTCTTCGCTGAATACTCAAGATCAGATGGCCGGCCAGAAAAGATCATCAGCAGGGATCTCTGGCAATGAGCGAACCAACCAGGAACCGATTGTGAAACAAATAGGTAGGAAGAAAAGGAGATGGATTAGCCATACGCCGAGGAAACCATCAAGTGACATCACTAGACAAACCATTACTCGAGTGGAACCCGAAAAGGAAGCGGCGAGTTGGTCGTCCAAAGGTGACTTGGAGGGGTCATGTGAGGAGGAGATAAAAGTATGTGTGCAGACTTGGAGTGGGGTGAAAAAGTTGGCAGAAAACTGAAGGCAATGGAGACGCGTGGCTGAAGCCCTATGTCCATCTAGGAATTAAAGGATATGATAATAATATAATAATAAGTTCATCCTGTTTTCTCCAGTCGTCTTCAGTTAGCTCCAGGTTTGAACATAAACTCTCATTTCCTCAATGTCAAACTTTCGGATCGAGGAACGGCTTGGTGTTCCCCATTCAGGCTCAACTCGAGCGCCCGCTTGTCGCATCAAACTGCCAATCAACGGTTACCTCAGCGTTAACCTGTTCCATCTCTTATTTACTTCTGCATATTAGTTAGGCTCTAGGTTCTTCGCTAGACTGTTACTAGAGTTCTTTGCTGCTGATCCTTTCAGGCTAGCTGTCTAATCCTCATTGTGGAGAGAAGAAAACTTTTAATAGGAGTCTGCAGTCTGTTTGGAATGATTTCATGATGCGCCAATCTCTGAACCGTATAGAACAGACTTCACATCGGTGCTGAAAGTTCGGATTTTGTTCTTTATGCTGAGTGTAGCGCGGTTTCAAACTGATTTCAGAGTAATAAAGGTCTCTTTTGCCTTTCCCACTCTACTCTTGACATCCTAATCTTTGCTTCACGTAGCTGAAAGGATGGTGATCTAATAATTGATCACTCAAATCCCTTCTTCTCGTGGTTACTAGTGCTTACTGTTGTTAGGTGGCTGTCTTTATCACCGCAGGCTTCTCCACGTGCACTCGAAAACCTGTCATCGCTGCTTCTTCTGAGTTTCAACTTGGGGCAATATAGATATGAATAATTATGGAATAAATTCATGAATTATAGAGACGATTTTGTTAAACATTCTCAAGACTATGTCATTGTATCCTCAAAAAAAGAAGATGACATTTTTATCCTTCTGGAATCTTTATTGGTATTACTAAACTTTCTTTATGTTTAGAGTGGAGATCATAGGGCTTCAGTAGCACATCTTAACTGCACTGACGTTTTTTCCCATAGCTTTCAATTAGCTTCACGATTAGGGATTAGTTCTCATTACCTCTTCATATGATCTACTCCGTGTCGTCTTTAGACGACCAAATCATCTCCTGACCTTCGAATACCACTCTTTAACCTAGAGTGTTATGCCATTTGATAATCTCCTCAAAATGTGTCTGATTCATTTTCACTTACTTCTGCATGGTGTTCCGATAATAAGTTGTTGGTTGGTCTGCTTCACTGTCAGAGTTCCTAGATGCTTCCTTGTCTTTTTCCATCGGCCATTTAATCCTAATTATCGGGCAAAGTCATCCGTTGATGAAAGTGTGCAGTAACTTGTTCTTGGAAAGGCTTTTTGTGACACGGGTGCCAAATTACTGAACCATGTAGAGAAGCACTGACATGGCATTATCAGAAAACCAGATCTTTTTACTTATTCTGAAATATATTCATATCCACACTGACCTTAGAGTAAAAAATGCCTGTCTTACATTCAAAATTTGATTCTGGCTTGCTTTGAATTCCGTATCCTTTTTATCTGTCGGCGAAATGACAGGGGCACCTATCCAGTCACGTGAAATAGATGATTTCTTTTGTATTTCACCCAGTGATGGTGACTGGTGTTTGTTGTTTTTGGTTGGTTGTCTTCATCGTCCAGATTGTTAGAATCTTCCTAATATAAAAACCAGGTGAGTTACTGCAAAACTGTCAGGAGTAATGAAAGAAACTTACTGAAGAGCCGTACTAAGATAATCAGTTTAAAAATCAGCTTATGTTAGCGATTATTATATGTAAGTTTTCAATGGAACGATGTGGTCCACGAATGTATTGCACAAAATCTGTGTGAATTCGCGAATCGGAAAAGAAATTTTAGAAACGAAGTTTGTATAATGCAACAGTGAACAGACATTTAGACAATCAGCTAAATATTTCCCTAAAATAAAGTCGTTCACTTTTCAACCTAATCAAAACATCTAAAATTTGTAACATATTGGCGTATAGCAAAACATCCCACTTTTAAAATAACGATGTCTTGATGTGATGCTGTTCTCTGAGTTCAACGATTTTTTTGCGAGAAATGTATTGTCTTTCTAATCAACATCTTCGATGATTACTCTAAAAGGCTGTTTTACATTGAAGTGAGCTTCTCAGACAGACTACCCAGCTCCGAGAGAACAACCACATCAAAAACCCGGGAAGGCTGAATAGAACTTAATTATTTGATTGAAACTTTTTGACACTGTGCGACTCTGATTCTATAGCAGATTGAACCTAGCTCTCTGATGTTACGATGCGTGTCTTTTGACCATTAAGTTACTTCGGAGAAATCGAACTTCGGTCATTTCATTATGTTTAACGCGACCGCCAGACAACTCTATCAGTATGTAGGCTTGCCACGATTTGACTGATCTCAGCTTTGACTACGAGTTGGCATCAGTTAGGCAGCCACTGAAAACCAGCTGGTACTCGATGGATGTATCCTCCCAGTTTTGCACTCTTTAACGGTACGTCACCATAAGGAATTTTGCGAAAGATGCGGGTGACGGTGGTTGTCAGTTACCCAACATACTGAGAACTGTCGGATATTAGAATTAGTTGGCAACTGGATTCCTTCCAAAATGCTGGATGTTCAGCAGGCCTGCCTCGTAACAAGAAAGTTCTGAATTCGATCCCTGGTCATTATTGTTATTACTATTATTAAAATGTCATAAAGACGGATTATTGCGGGAAATACAATTACTTTGTTTCTTTTGAAGTTATGTGTGCATTCATTGTTTCTGAAAGCTGATTTCAATTACTCTAAATGCCTATACAATTTTAGACGGAATCATTTTAGTAAGAAAACTATTAGAAAATCAAGGAGTAGTAGGCAGATGTTTTGTTCCGGTTTTGGAATCTTCAGCATTACGCATCTAATAGCATTGTGAGCTTGTAGACCATTGAACCACTGGGAACCGTCCAATTGCCCATGAACTCTGAATCCTTATACCTGGCGATTCACATAGTACAACCACCAGCCACTAATATCATCCACGTCTAGCTGAACGGTCTATAATCTTGCCTTGTACCCGGAAGGTCCTAAGTCCAAACCCCTGTGGTTACGTACAATGAAGAGTCCTTAACAGGGACAAAACAGCCCACTGTGCCCTTTGCTCGCCGGCGGAGATCCAAAGAACGTCTTTTGCTGCATCTCTGCGCCTCACCTCCCCTTTGATCAGATCTTTAAAGACAAGATCCTGCTGTTGGAAACTTCAGTGTGTATTTACCAATTCATTTGGTCTTGTGGAGTTAAGCCCGTAGGCCATACCAGCAGCATGTTGTCTCGATGCACCTATGAAAATTAGTCATAACAGTCAACAGCTCAATTCTGGAGGAAATAATTAATTCTGGTCATGCGGCATCGTTAGAAACTTCATTCACAGTCATATGAAATACAAAAGTATTTCATCTGCATATATTCTGCTTGCAGCAAAAGCTTTATCAATGCGTAAGGAGAAGTCTAAACTTTATGTTTAGAAATGTTTTATCTACCATCTTTTAATACTGTGGTTTTACTGTCAACTCTGTTTCCCTGAATATTTGTACAATAAACTGTATGGAGTCCTTTAGTTTTAAAATTTAATTCTTTAACCCACATGTTTTATCCCTTTTTTTCTTGTAAACTTTCGATTGTTTCCAAATCCTTATTCATCGCTGAACTGATAAGTTTCCAACCCTCCTTATTACGTATTATCTTTCACTGTTTTTCACACATTGTTCTTACTCATATACTTTATTTCGATACTGACTGACGAATTATTTCTAACCTGTACTGTCAAATAACATTGAATACATAAACTGCCCAAAATAATTGTACAACTTTGAAGTGAAGTTACGGGAACAGATCTGATTGCTCACTTATGTGTTCTTAACTATCACTGATATTGAAAGCTGTCTACAACCTAAAGTCTTCTAATGCAAATTACTCTTTCATTTCCAGTGGAGTACAGGATGTGAACTTCGTCCAATCCTGGAGTCGTCGCTTGAATGCAAGTGCCTTCTAGATGGATAATGATATTCCCAGTGAGACTATGACCTAACAATAACCGTTTCAAGCACCAAATGATTGGGTGTTTCGATAGGAAGGGAAATTTTTCAAAATAAGTGGTATAATTAGAGTTGAAAATCAGTTTGCAATACAGCATTATTTTAATTTACTCGTGCACAGTAAATTTATTATTTGTCATAATAAATATGCTAGCACAAACACCACAATTTCGAACATTATCATGCATTCATCGCATAGAAAATCAAAACAAGTGATTTGGTGAAGAGACTCTTTACAACGAATTTATCATCAAGCTGACTTATAAACCTTACCAAAAATATACTTTACATGAGCTTGGAATTCAAATGGGACTTAGCTTTAGATATCATGAAACGAAGGATATCACAGTACCTGAAAAGAAAATTCCCTGCTGCATCTCTGAAAATAGCCTTTACTAGTCGACCATTACTGTTCATTAACCTGAAGGAAAAGATCCCGATGTTGACCAACTCTGTGTGTGTTTATCAATTCACCTGCTCTGTTGTTCGACTCGAGTTTTGTCAAGAACACTATCCTGCATGGTTACGAAGAGGTGTAAGTGGAGCAATAAGAAGCTCGATCATTGAACACCTGGTCGATAATGATCAACCTATCTCTCTATAGTCTCCGCCTTTAAAGTCATCTACAAAACAAAGAGTAATTTACCCAAATCCCTACGTACCCGACTCATCTGTATTGCTGAAGCCATCTTTGGCTATCGAAACAGAAAAGCCAGATCTCTGTGTACAGAAAAAGTTCGTTCAACTCCTCCAACTTGCATGGTCTTGATCCCTCTATGCTAAAGTATGGTAATCCCCAATCATATTTAAGCTCTATCAATTTTTCATTTTGTCTATCCAGTTTGTATTCTCTTCTTTATTATTACGTCAATTGTTACTATTACTATTCTCACTTTGAACTGTCCCCGGTATTATTTCACTTGTTCCACTTGTCATTCTAAATCAATTCTTTTTTACAATGTTAAATTCTATGCTATTAAATTTCACACAATATTACGTAACGTTTTTGTTTTATTCGATTTGTCTACTAATCCTATAATTGCATATCCTTTTTCAAGTTCTATCCCTCCTATGAATTATTCTACATATGAAATTAATTTGCTTTTCCACTTGACATTTAACTATGAGTATAATCACAAACATTTTAGTTTTAATTGCATTTCATACTATTATTATTGTTTTATGCATTCACACTTACGATTCAATTCCCTCACCAGATATAACTTCTTAAAAACCATATATATATATATACGATTGTACAGCTTGATGATAAATTGGTTAAAAAGAGTCTCTTCGTTGAATCACTTTTTTTGGTTTTCTATATATTACAATGGGAATTTTCCATGAGTTAGAAAATAGCATTTATCCTAATCCTAATTCCAGTTTTGTTCCTCATATTTCCTAACGTTTTTCAAGGTTATATTGATGACTACTGAATACCACTAATTTAAAAATATGTATCTTTATACTACTTGTTACAGGATTTTCATTAAAATCAATTAGTTCCACCTTATTCATATACGGCTCATATTGAAAGTAACTTAAATTGACAGTAAACCAACAAATCGTATAAAAAACACTAAAGTGTCGGCTTTCATCCCACGCTGCTGACTGTTAAACTGGTGACCTGAAAACCCTTCACATGGTCTCACGACGGATTGTACACACTACCGATGAGCCTCAGTCAGGAGGAATGGCTTCTTCAGTATTTATCAGCTTTCATCATCCTTCTCTCGTCTTAGGTTCACAGTCACTTGTAAATCCTCATTTTGCATAAAGAAAATGTTAGTAAAGCCTAACGAGAAATTGGTTTCAAAATACTACTATTAGTGGTTAGTTCATTTCTACTATAGTTCACATCGTGGTCAGGTGCTACTTAATTACAATTCGTGCCCTAGCTTCGAACGTCTAAACAATTACTTGCATGTTGCTCAAATCCCTATCTCAACTTCATCGTCTCTGAGAAAACGTTCGATAGCATAGACCACAAAATGATTTGGAAACTACTTCAGTACCACGGAGTGCAATGTTGCAAACCTTTAGCAACCTCATTCACCAGGTCAGTTGATTCGGTAAAAAAAACCTCAGCCTTTGGAGTGAATACAGGAATAAGGCAAAGCTTTCTACTATCACTGATGACATTAGTGATTGTGGTAGACTGGATCATGCGGCAGGCTATGCGGAGTGAAAAGAGTGGGGTATATCGGACCTGTACGAAAACTCGAAAAGATTTGCACTTCATGGACGATATATACCTTATATCACCCAAACCAGAAGATCTACAGGCGGTAAGCAACAGGTTGACAGGAAGAGCAGAGGAGACAAAACTTCAAGTGAATGTGGAGAATATAACGGCGATGAATTCACTCGACCAACAAAAATAAGAATCGTCTCACCTGAATCTGGCATAGATGAAGATGTCAAAGCAGGGGTAAAAAGGGCAAGGCAAATCTTCAATAATGAAACTGAATCCAGTCCGGAAGTCCAGTGCACTTAGATTTAAAAACTAGATACAGATTTTTAACACCAATAACAAGTCAGTTTTTTTATGTAGTTCCGAGAATTGACCAGTTACCGTAAACACTTCCAACGGACCCTAGACTGATGTCAACATCAGCTTTCGCCTCACCCTGGAGATAAAATGGCCGTTTGATAAGGAATATCAGCAAGGAACCCTAGTTCCGAACGAACCAACAACCTCTAACTAAAAAGAGTATGATGAAGAAGGTGGAGTTGGGTCAGAGATTCACTAAAGAAACAAGTGAGTAACATAACGCCTAAGGCGGGCGCTCAAGTTGCACTCGAATGTGAAACGACAAGCTGAGCATGGGTCCAACAGTAACATTGATGAGATCGTGTGAAGAGGAAACGAAAGCTCATGATCATTCAAGGAACTAGATAAAGGCGATTTTATATAACGGGATGAATGTAGGTTTTCTGTTGAAGCTACACATTCCACTCCGAACCAAAGAGAATAATAATACAGCTCAAAATAAGACAAATTCGAAGTGTTATTTAATCATATTAGAAAAACACAGGGAATTTTTCATTGTTTAAAATACAGTGCATAACACAACAATGTAGTTTATGAAATGTGTGCGTACTGAATAAGCAAGAAATTTTATATAAAATGACACAAATACCAAAAGTGTTGTGTAAAGGGAGGGGGTTGGAGATGGGAAACAAAATTCACTACACTTCCAAAATAAGAAGGATATATCCCAGATAGAAGTTACCCGCGAATAATTTACTAGTATGATTTGTTGACTAGGCCTGTCCCATTTTCACCTGTTCATAGGATTCTGTAGTTGATCAGCAGGCATTGATGTGTTTAGAGTAACACTTTGAGATGACTGGTCGGAGTCAGAAAATAACTTTTCTTTTTTGTTCTCCTTTTTTAACGAATCTTTATGATTGTATCTTTTCTCTGAATATCCTCTACCAAATATATCGAAGCCATGGATCAGCATATTTCCACTATGATCATTAGATCTTCCATAGGTTTGAAATCGTGAATAATCTCTTCTTCGACCATATCGATCTGTACCAACACGTATTTTAAAATCTGTAGTTTCTGAATATCTTTTGTCTTTCATTGTATTACCAAGTGATAAAACTTTACCATACTTGTGCATGATAGTAGGCTTCTTTTGATAATAACGCTTACTAGTGGTCATATTAACGCTGCCCGATTTCGACATATTTACTTTGGGACTATCTGAGTAGTATCCAACTGAATTACTATAGGAATAGTGTAGACCATAAGATTTTTTATCGCCTCCATCAGCGCTATCATCTCCGTCGTCATTATCATCATCATCATCGTCATCGTCATCATAGAAGAGCTTCTCATTTTTGCCGTAGTAATCATCTTCTCCATGAGTTGTCCTTGTAAATGGAAATGTGGCGGTTAATATAAATATCAGTAGTAATAATAAAATGATATTTCTCATTTCCTAAGTAAAGTTAATATTCAATGTTAACAAACTGATAATGTTGAGCATGATTACATTAACAACAACAATAATCATATAACGTATTTATATAAAACGCAATATCAACAGTACAAAGCAATAGAGTAACTTATATATTGGAATAAACTTATATACAAGTTACAACGCAAAAAGCTGAGATTAGTTGGGTTAACTTCAACATAGATCAATATTTATATATGTATCTTATGTTTTTTTTTGCATGAAAGCAAAGTTGATCAAAGTTCATTGAATAACGCATATAAGAAAAAAAAATAGTTAACTATTAGCCATATTTTATTCTGCTCATAAAACAGCGATAATCTGGTGTTTTGAAATGATTCGACTCTCAAATGAAAAAAAAGAGAAGATGTTCAGCGAAGAGACTCTTTTCGACGGCGAATTCATTCACATAGCTGTACAATTGCATTTATATATATAATTATTTGTGTGTGTCTATGTACATGAAGTTTGTCAAGTTTAGATAATTGATCAGGTAATACAAGAATGATCTAATATAGAAACAAGGTTAATTAGACAGGAACTAAAGTAAGATTGAGTTAGTTAGTAAGTTAGATGACATAATATAATTGACTAAACTGTTTCAACTTAGGTCAGGGTAGCAACAGAGGTAATTACAGGTAGAGACTAAGTAGAAGTGGGATAGATAATAATGCCATTTAAATTAGAACTGAAATTGAGCAATTAAGTTGGATGACGTAACAATCATAAATGACTAGAAATTGAGTGTTGGTCAAGTCAGTAACAGTGGTAGTAAGGTGTAGAAATTAAATCGGGTGGGGGTAGAGAACAAGAAAGTTGAAAATGCAAAATAATACATTTGAGAAGACAAAATAATGCTTACTAATGAAGAGACAGAAGAAAAATTAGGTAGGATTTACTTCTTGGGTAATAAAATAGATTAAGTTCATTGCAAGTGTAGTGATTGAACGAACTTCTTCTGTATGCAGAGTTCAGGGCTTAGCAAGTGAATCGCCATTGCTTCTGTAGTTTGAAGAAGTGTGATTCGAACACCTTTAGGAAGAATATTCCGTATTCTGTAGACGCCTTTGAAGTTTGTTTGTGGTGTCGCTTGGTGTCCGGATTCTATCAGATGTTCTAAGATGGAGCTGCGGCGACATCGTTTTTCTCCTTTGTAAAAACATGTTGTTAAGTGTTCGGTGATATGATTGGAAAGCGAACGCTGGGTACGGCCGACATACCTGGCTCCACACGAGCACGTGACTTGATAAATACACATTGATGAGGCCAGCAGTGGTAGCTTATCCTTCACGTTCATATGAATTATAGGTTTTGTGGAGAAAGTTAGTCGTAGTTCAGCTGCGAAGAAGGTCTTCTTGAGTGAGCGCGACAGTCGATTTTTTAGCGTTTCCGCAGATATTTCTCCATTGAATTGAAGGTTGATGTAGAGTAGTTTTTTCGGAACACTAAGCATGGGCGGCTTTTGTGGTCTGGGATTCATAGATTTTGCAATAAATCGTTCTGGGTAACAATTGTCGACGAGGATTCTCTTGAGATTGTCCAGTTCATCTTCTATGGTGTCCAGGGTGTAAATTCTGCGAACTCTGTAGCTGAGTGAACGTATCCGGTTTCGTTTGGTGTATAGGGTTATCCAACTGTGAAAGTTAGTAAGCTGTCCGTTCTATGTCGACTTTCTGTAGATAGATCTTGTCAGTGTTCCATCTTGTTCTCGTCTCGTTAGTTGGACCTCAAGAAAGCATATTTTGGAGTTGGACTCCAGCGTGAACTAAATCGCAGGGTGGCAGTTGTTAAACGACTTCAAGATGTCGTCTAGATTTTCTTGATTGCTGACGATAATGAAAGTGTCGTCGACGTATCTCTTATAGATTTCGAAGGTGTCGGTCATTTTCTTCAGGCATGTGTTTTCGAGTTTTTCCATGAAGAAATCTGCAGGCAGTGAGCCTAGTGGTGAGCCTATAGCTATACCATCCTTTTGGCGATATATTTCGTTGTTGAAAGAGAATTGAACATTCAGGGTACGCCTCAGCAGGAGTTCTTTAAGACGCTTGGTGGGTATACCGGTGTTTATTCCTTCGGAATGAATAAGTTCGCATATAAAGCACATTGTTTCAGTCAGTGGAACATTTGTGAATAGTGATGTGACATCTAATGAGATCGCGGTCTTGTTTGATACGTTGATGTTTTCGATTGAGTCGATAAAGTCGAATAAATCTCGAGCTGCGTGGCAGGAAACTTTTATTCTGGTTGGTTCTAGTAGGTCTGCTAGCCACTGGGCTGTGCAGTGATAAGGCGAATTGCTCATATTGAGGATCGGTCGAAGAGAGATACCCTTCTTGTGTACTTTCAGGGGTCTCAGCTGAATCAAACCGGGTAGGCCACTGATGAACTTGGCCTCAAACGAGTGAAACTGCCGTCCGGTGTTTAAATCACTTCATTCTGACTGGCTGATTGGCTGGCCAGCTAGCAAGCACCACTGGTTGATGAGGGTGGTTTACAAGTACTTATCTCAATCACACAGCAATAGAAAGCTTTCGTGAAATTATGCCAAGGAGATCCCAAATTATAAGCTGAATAATTAGGTTTCCCAAGGGAACTGTAGTGAAATTCCTCCTCCTCTCTCTCTCAACTGTGTAAACTGCAAATAAATTTGCAAGCTGGGGACATAAAATGTCGAAATGAACAGAAAAAGTGTTTAATCATGATTCATAAAAATTCTTCAAAATGTGGACTTCTCTGAACACTTTGAACAGAAATCTTAGAGTGTTTGACATGAGATCTGTTTCTGTCAATTTGGTGATAATGCTACAGGACAAATGTGCACCAACTTCTAGTATCGAGATACGGAGTGAAATGATTGAGCATATTGACCACTTTACTTATCTTTGAAGTTGTTTAAGCCCCACTGAACTGATTGCTAACGAAACCTCAACAAGGTCGTTGAAAGTAGGATATATGAATAGGCTAGATGTCTTTGATGCCAGACGTTTGTGTTTGATTTCCCATGTCAATACTGAGGTTAGTTATGCAGTTGTGAAGCTACATAGATTTAGATGACTAGGAAATTTTATTGCGCCTACCAATTTACTACCTTAATCGACAAGCAGTGTTAGGTGAAAGACGGTTGAGTTGGGAAAGAGTTACAGTGGTCAAACTAAAGCCTGAAGTTAGTCGATGAAATGCTTTACCGTTGGTGTGAGCCAAATAAGGAAGTGCAGACTGATTGCTAGGTTTCTGGGAATGCTAAGAAATCATGTTTAAAGACTATTCATAATATGGCTCAAAATCTTAGTCAGTGGCATGGATGCATTCACTGTTCATGATCTCCTATATCTATTAAGCCCCTCTCCCATGAATTTCCTGGATATTATTCTCTCTTTCACACACTTGTACTTATTACAGAGGATAACACCTTAGTGCTTCAGACAGTGGCTGTAGGGTTCAAGCCTCAGTGCGAATACTGTCACACAGTGAGAAAAGGAGTACAACCAACTGACAAGTCGCAGTCCTATATTCCAATGGTAGCCAACCCTAAACCAGAATGTCATCACGATGAATACATGTTCAAATCTTTCTTCTATAATTTATACTTACTTTGATGTTGTTTGGGTTGTGTACACTTGAGAAGAATCTAGGAGATAAGAAAAGTGGACTGATATCATCCTGATCCATTTGTTGTTACTGACTTTATTTCATGTGATATTGAGCAGAGATAAATGTTTGTAGTACATCTCCTCCAGGCATGTTGAGACAACAACTCATTTTGATAAAACCAACAATTTCACCTAGTGTACTGATATCATAAAATGGAAGCCAAAGTTAACTTAATTGTTAGTCTTTGATGAAGTTAAGTAATATTATACGAAAATGCAGTGTGTCGGTGACACAGCGGTTAGGACGTTCGCCTACCATGAACATGGTTCGGGGTTCGATTCCCGGTTGACGCACTCCGTTACCTCACTTAGCCAGAAGTAAAATATGGTGAAGAGGAAAGGTTTGACATGAGGCTAGCAACTCCATCCTGTAAAATTAAACACTGCTACAGAAACTTCAAGCCACTAGCTTGAAGCCCTATGTTCCACTGGGAAGGTGAAGAAATTAATAATAATTATTATAATTATTATTATCAAACGAAAATGCATCAGTAATTAAGTACTCTCAGTTTGATCACTTCAGTTAGAGAACCAGTGAAAACCAGGGACTATTGAATAGTTGTTGGGAATTTTCAGCAGTAGGCACATATAATCCCACTGCCGGAGATCGAACCCAGGACATTGAGGTTAGAACTAGGTGAGCCCGTCGATCATTCAGCCTCTAGAATGTAATCCAATGACTCCCCGAATCTCATTTCTGTTGGTCCGCGGTATATAAGATGATTCTGTTCTATTGGTCCAATAGTCAAATGGTTTGCCTTGTAACATGAATTGTTATGGCTTCTGTTGTTTGGGATATTCTATATTCAGCAGTTTCTTCGGTAAATAATCTACTTTATAAAATTGATAGCCAAATAACAGAAGGAAAATGTGTTCCTAATTCTATCGTTTCATCTAGGAATTTTTTTCCATTACAGCTTGATTCCACACTGTATTTTTGTTAAAAGTATGGGATTTTCAGCATGTGATATCGGTAGCTCAAATTTTGCAGGCGGACCATAGATATCGGGTGTGCGTTGGCAGGGGATCGAACCCCTGACCATGTACATGGTCGGCGAGAGTCCTAACCACTGTGCCACCGACGCACCACACTTCTAAACTGTGATTTCTGACAACCCTAATTTATTCTTTTTCAAAGATCTTTAATGCGACTTTGTTACAGGTTTCTTTCGTTTCAGTCAAAAAATCATTTCAAACACTACTGGGGATTTAGTTTGTCTTTGGGCTTTGATGTAATTGTTTTATAGATTCCTTGAATTATGAATGACATTTTTAAAAATTTGATGTCAAGATTACAGAAAATTTCTAAATGGTCAGTAATCAATATTTTGTCTTCGACTTATACAGAAAACCTGAAGCTGAGTTTGAACATGCATAACGAAAATAGGTAAAGTTTTTCATGTGAACTGTGATCAAGATTTGACAGAATGGTTCCAAACTAATTGGGCACCGAGTGAGAATTAGACATTTGTCAAAATTATACATGTAAAATGTCAACAAAACTGAAATGAGTAATTCCAACTTTTTCGTTTGACCAAACTGGTCCGAACTGCTTCAGGGGAAATTAATCGAAATTAAGATAAAGGGCTTAAATAAATATTATAATAAAGGTTGTTTGTATTTCCCAATGAATGAAAAACAAAACGATATTGTTTTTACTGACGCTTCGCTATTTAAAGCTAATAGATTTATCAAAGTATTGTTAGACCAGAATTTATAAAATGTCACCTTATGTGTAACAACTTAATCATTGTTCTTCAGCATGGAGTCATTTTTGCATAGTCAAGTTAGCTAATTGGTAAAGATAACAAAATCGGGCGTAGATTGTTGGATTTGATAAGTGTATAAATTATAAAAGCAGTGTGTGAGTACATTATGAAATGGCTTATCAAATTCGTGTTGATTTTCTTATTTCATGGAGGGTGCGTTGTGACCAGGTCGAATTCTGTTTTATTCCATCATTCCTTTTCATGAAAGCTTTTTCTTTCATTTTAACTTTGGTATTTTTTGCTGTCTTTTTGTCTGTGGTTTAATAACTAATGCTAATTATTTGGTGTCATTGATTTCGATACCTCACTTATCTTAAGTGTAATTTGGACTGTTATATAACGTCCTTGGTTTTACTGGTTTGTAAAACAAAGAAAGTAGTGAGAACCGGTATCTATTTAAATTTGTTTCCGAAATAGAATTTCTTTTCGGATTTGGTAACTTTATTTCAACTAACATTACAAAACGCCTTCCTTCTTCGAAGGTTATTCACTAAGTATCTAACTAGCTTGGTGAAAATATTCGTTCTTTGCTGTTTTAGTCTTCAAATTTAAATTTTCACCAGCCATAATGTTCTCTTCTTCTATTAGGTGGCGTAGCTAGCTTTACGCCAACCTTAGCTCTCTTTCCAGTCTTACTGTCGATTAGTAAACGAGGTGTGGGTTAGACGTATGTCACCTAGGAATCAAAGTTAGACCACATGGATGGTCCCCGAATTTTCTATCGATAAAGCATCAACTTAAGTTCTGATTTTATTTTGGAAACTTAAGCAGTGCTTTTACACATTCTTTGCAGTTCCACTGCTGATACAATTATTATGTAAAGTGTAAAATATGCAGCAGTGGCTTGCTGCTTAAAATTACTGTGCTACTTAATTTTTCGTCTATCAAATTTAATTTGATTTATTCTATTTTGCAGTGTTTTATTTATCCACTTACATTCTTAAATCGCAGCCTATACTCGTGTCCATTTTGAAATACATTTCGACCTACTTCTGTGTATTGTTTCAAGGATTTATCTGAAAATTCTTCATGAGGAGTAAACAGATTAATACTTAACATGCTAACAATTCAACACTCCGTATGTGAACGTATTTTTCAGAATACAGCTATTGTATTATGCACTGCAATGATACGTCCCTTAGATCATTCGCCACACTGCAAACATTATGATTACGAGTCAGCTGACATCGGGTACTTGACTGATATGTAGATTACCGCCACCCCATCCCCCTCTCTATTTTCTGTTATAATTTATAATTCGAAACCCTCTTCTTTCATTCCAATATTTTAAAGTCTAAGTGTTCATAATTTTAGCTGTTTTTAATTGTGATAAATTCATCCGATGTATGTTAATGTGTACTTTGATGAACATGTACTTCATTGAATTCTTATCAGTCATATAACAGTTGCACTTGACAATGCGTAGTCGACGAGTTCGCCCTGTAACCTGAAGACCTCGATGTTTGCTGTCTGCTGATGAGGTCATTCATGAGTATCGCATATGAATTCCAAACTAGAACAAAATAACCTCGCAGTACTCCATAGGTTTCAATGGTACTCTAACTAATATTAATCTATGATCGGTCAAATCCGTTTAAAACGAACAATTGAAAATTAATACTTATTTGTTACTAGACTGTCTATGTGTCTATAAGATCATACAAATGATCATGTTTTACATACAGTATTCAGATGATGAGTCCTGCGCAAATTTATGAATTCATTACATATTATGTTCTTCGTAATTGTAGTTTGTTTTTTTAATTGTTTCTGTCCTCCTGCGAAATTACTGCTCAGAATAACTATTTTAAAAATCCTACTATATGTGTACTTGTGTGGTTGAATGTCTTTGACAAACTTGACGATAATCTTCGTTTGCTTTTGCATACTATGAACTTCAAAGTTTATTCAATTGTTCGTAGTTAATAGGGTTCAAAAGACAAACACTGCCTAATGACTTGATAGAATTCTTACTAACCCTACGTGAAGTCTGAAGTTGGATTTTCGTCTGGTCCATTCGTAAACCTAACCGATTTTGTTAGTCGATAGTCAGCCCAAACATGAAGGAGGGTTGAATGCCAGGCCATCGTTACTGAAGCTTCATAAACCTTGAAGTCCTACATAATAGTTGGAGAAAAGGATTTGAAAATTTCTCTGTGGTACCGGACTTACATTAGAATACTTGAGTTATTTAATATTTTTCAACCTCAAGAGTTGTGTTATTCGGCTTAAGAGCATAATAAATACTGGCAGTATTGCTTAGTCCGCATATAATTTTCATTAATTTTCTCCTTATACCTTAACATTAAAAAAGTGCTGTAAATTCACTCATAGTGGAAGTATTCAGCGACACTCATTTTGGTCTGCCTAGTGTTAGAACTCTTCTTTTTCAGAAGGAAACGGCTGTGGATATCACACTCAATAAAGAAACCTTCAAACTGAGATTACACGCTAAACCTTCAAGTGGGATTCGAACGCAAGGTGACGTTTCGATTGCAGGTCCGATGGTGACATGCAGGGGACCATGTGAAGAGGAAATGAAAAGTTACTGGAAGTCACCCAATTATTTGAAAATGATACCATTGAATCGAGTGGAATGGAGATGGGATTCTGGAATTTCATGTTGAACTCGTAACGCATGAAACGAATAATAGAAAAGTGCCTATTGTCAGAACCTTTTATTCGATGACACATAACATTTATCGGAAATCTCACAGAATATGGTAAAGCATGTATTTTCGCATCATGTAAGAAGCCAACGAAATAAATGATGATACCATATTGTTCTGCTAACATTGTTGTTCGTGCTTTATTAAAAAAAAACTAGGTAGGTAATTAGACCGACTTACATCATTATATTGTCAAATATACAACTTACATTTGAATATTATCAGCGTAAACTGCCTGCTATTTGGTAGAATATCAGTACACGGGATCCACTTTATCTTAGGAGCTTTTCAGCGTAATAACTTATCAAGAATAGCGTGATGAAGCAAATGTTCGAAACAATAAATTATGCTAATTTTCTGAAAAAAGTTTAATAACTATCCTATAATTGCTAAAATAAAGTTTAGCCGTATTTATAGCACTTTACTTCTCACTCAATACTTCGTTTATACTCAAAAGAATTTCATGTCTTAAGTTTAACAATACGCTGATAATTATTAGAGAAGGGAAAACACCCAACTTGTGTTAGTTTTTAAACACATATGATTAAAAAATTTTTAATACATTATGCAAATTATTAGGAAGTTCACAGTTGCCAGAAAACTTTCATCGCATTCTTTGATTATTAAAGGTTTTGTCTTTACTCCACTCCGAACTGGAATCACTAGCTCTGTCAGTATTTGTTTCAGCTCCATTTCGTTCCGTAATATCTACCTTCATATCACTTGCATTTTCTGTACCTAAATCTAGACGTCTGTAATCTTTCATATTTGAACCTGTTTCACTACGTCTACGATGTTCATGAATATTACTGTTTTCATCGAAAACATCATATACTTTCTGTCGATCAAAACTATTCGAATTACCGTAAACATCAAAGGTTGAATCCAGTTGTCTTCGGTGTCCCATTCTATAACCAGAACGTTTTCTATAAGTGGTTCGCAGATGGGATTGACCTCCACGTTTACGCACACCATAGAAAGTTTGATAACCTCTGCCTTTGATATCACTTATACCAGTGTATTGACTGGATTTTTTAGATTCTTTCTTCACTACAGCAAATCCAGTATCACTTGTATTGCGAGAATTTCGATTCATATCAAGATTTTTACTTTCAGAATCTCTTTTATTAGATGTCTCTTGTTTGGATTTTTCAGAGGTTTGTTTGTTTCTTGAAGAACTAGACTGTGAGTCATCTACCATATCTGGTGGTAGTAGTGGTGTTCCTGGTGGTGGTAGTGGTGGCGATGGTGATTTTCCCCTTTCTCCTCGTCCTTCACTTCCTCTACTTTCATCTTCTTCTGGATGATCAATCGGCCTTGGTCCACATAATACTCCTCTCATCCTTGATATCTCGATGTACATTGCAAGTGAAAAGCCAATCAACAGGATTATTCTCATATTGTCTATACTCGTCTGTATTTCTGATTTTGCGATCACTCTTTGCTGTTGTTTTTAGCTTTATGTTTATTTATTTATTTATTTATATCTTCATAAAATCACTTGTCAATAAATAAACTTCGTAGTTATTAGGAAAAAAAACGAAATAAAATGACATGTGATAGTAAAAATATTTAATGTTGTCAGTAAGGGAGTGCACTGATCTAATCAGTCAATATATAACAAACTGAAATAATTCTGAATAATTTTAAAGACTTCTTTTTTTCCTGTGATTCGATTAGTTTCAAGTTATATATTACCAAGTGAGATGATTTGGAGAACTATTGGATAAGGCAAAGATTACTGGATAGCTAGCTTCTGAGTCCTAGCTGCTTCTGGACGCTTTAACAGAGTGCATTAATGACACCATAGACAGTTGAACTAAGGGCCTTCAAGTCATTAAAAAACAGAACCTCATTCAATTAACTGGCTTATATAACAATGCCACATGCAAGGTGATCCACAAAAGGAAACTCAGCGAGTGAATACAGTAGTGAGACAAGACGACTGCCTATTATCATCAATGATATCCTGAATTGTGGTGGACAGGAGTTTACATCAAATTGTGAGTCAAGAGTGAGAAGACAGGAATACGCTGGAAGACCGATAAGAAGATTCTGGAAGATCTGGATTTCATGAGTCGATGATTTATGATTCGCACAAACTTGAAGACTTGTAGGCAAAGACCAACAAACTGGTAAAGGAGGCTGGCAGGCAGTGAAGATAGGACTCCGTGTGAAAAAAGAGAAGATGGATATGTTGAAGAAAGCCAACAAACGAACGACAGCAATAAGAAAACCAGAAAACAATTTTTACAAAATGGGGAATTTGAATTAGGTTACTTCTTTCACCTATCTAGGAAGGATAATTTCAGCTAAAAGTGGGAAGGATGAGAATGCCAAAACCAGAATCAAAAATGAAAAATGCATCTTCATCGTTGTGAAATCTGTCTGGAAATCTTCTGCACTCAGCATAAAGAACGAGATTCGGATTTCCAACACCAATGTGAAGTCAGTTTTACTATATGGGTCAAACAAAACCTTGGCGTGTCATGATAAGCATTTCCGGTAATCCATTACAGAATTTCATCAATAGCTGACTTCGCTGACTGCATGCGAAAGATCAGATGGCCAGCTGGCCAGAAAGAAGTAGTAACAAGAAACTTTGAGAACAAACCAACCAACAACCTATCAGCAATTATGCAAGAGAAAATGGATATGGATCTAACTTACGCCGAGGAGACCGTCGAATGAAATCGCGCGCTCGAGTGGATCCCCAATGGGAAACGATGAGTGGGTAACTAATCAGCAGTTATTAATACCCCTATCTCAGTGTAATATTTAAAATAAACGTATCTAATATGGAACTAATTTTGTGATGTCATAAATTTTACAGATTTTACACGTTTTGATGCGTTGGTGGTTTAAGTGTAGAATGTTTGCACGTGGTGCGGGTTCGATAGTGTGAAAACTTCAATGTTAATCAAACTTTTTGCGAGAATTGGTTCTCCTCTGCTCATATTGAAAACTTGTGTTCGTACTATCAATTGAATACCATTTTTGGACGTCTTAGTCAGGCGAACAACTACAGGAGAATTAGAAACTCAAGTTTGTAGGAAATCAACTCACACAGACCAAATACTGAATTACAACAGCAACAACCCAATAACACACAAAAGGAATTGCATACAAACACTATTCAAGAGAGCAAGGACTCACTGCAGCACTCCCACCTTAAGGAAATTTGAAGAAAAGTATCTCATGGACGTCTTCCAAAAGAATGGATATCCCCGGAATTTCATCAAGAGACATATGCCCCCAAGCCAACCTACCAAAGTAAAAACCACCAAGGAAAGCACAAAGAAAATTGCCTTACCATATATAAAAGATATCTCAGAAATCACTATAAGACTCTTCAAACCTTTAGGAATTGGCGTCGTACACAAACCAACAAAGTCGCTGCACTCAATTCTATGTCAACCAAAAGACTCAACAGCGAAAGAAGAAAAAACCAGCATCATCTACAAAATAAACTGTAACAACTGCGAAAAACACTACATTGGCCAAAGTGGACGTCCTCTTCGTCTTCGTATCCACGAACATAAGCTAGCCGTCAAAAGACATGATATCCACTCTCTCATTTCACTACACACAGACAACTACGGACATCAATTCGACTGGGACAACCAGTGTTCGAATATTAGATAGAGGAAACAACACCAAGAATGCTAGAGAATTTTTAGAAGCCTGTCTGGTATTCCAGTGAATCATCAATCAATAGACACATCGAGATCAACAAAACTAATCAACCAATAAGGAAGAAACTTCATACACAAACGGTCAAAGTTCAAGTCAAAGAAACAATCAGTTCCAATACAAGTAGTCTAGAAGTTGTGAAAACACACACAAACAGCCAATCAAGTCCAAGGTCACCAGGAGAGATGATTAATAAACTCGTGGAGAAATCTAAAAGCTCACTTCAAATTGAAGTATGCACTGAAGATGTCGCCTAGTAGGGCGATGAAAGCTTCGCAAATTAGCTATCCAGCTTAGAGAACACAACCACATCAGAATTCACCTTTCTCATCATATTTTTTAATGCAAATCACTCAGTCATCTTAATAGGAAAAGAAATCCATAATTATTGTTGGAGCATAAGTTACACCTTATACTTATATTATTACTGCAACAAGAATGCTAGAGAACTTTTAGAAGCCTGGTATTCCAATGATACATCAACTTTCTTTCTACATGACCTACCATCTTCAAACGAGATTAATTAAGTTAAATATGCTAACGATATGACTGTATCTTTGCCAGTCAAGTGTCAAAGTGACTGCTCCAAACTAAATGGCTTTTTATCAAAAATCAGCCAGTGGTCCAAGGAAAACGGTCCTACCTTAAATCCCTCTCTAAATGTTAAACAGTCAATTACAGCTTTAGGCATTAATCTAACCTAAACAAACTGGTTAGCACTCATGAGGTGTGCAATATTGATGGCACTGAAATAGAAACCAAGTCGGAAATTAAATATCTTGGCGTCATTCTGTCTGCTGATCTATCCTGGTCGTCTCATGTCTTGATGATTTATAAGAAAATATTCCGTCTTACCTTCTACATCAAGAAGTTAAGATATTCTGGAATAATCCAACCTTTACTCTTACTGTTCGTTAACCCTTGCATCCTGCCTATTATTCTCTATTGTTCCCCCTTAGTTTTTCCAGGGCTACTGAACAAGGACTATGTCTTATTACGTAGGATGTTAAAGGTTGTCAGCAGGGTAGGGAATGTGCCACTTAACCAGCTTGTTAATATTCTGGTTGACAGGCAATTGGACTAATGTGAAAAATGGGCTAAATCCATATTATCTAACTCTCACCACCCTCTTCATTCACAACTCTCCGCTTGTATCTCACCAGCCAGACCAGAGCAGAAGCCTATATAGGAAACTATATGCCTGCACTAGTAAGTACAAAAACTCATCCATACCCTACTTAGCTCGTGTTCTGTGCGATAAAGAAAGCATTAGGCGTGAAACCTATAACTTATTAAATAGTCAGTAGAACAATTGGATCTCGTCCTTCTAACTCATATCATTTATAGGTACAACGTTTTCTTTCTTTCCTTTTCTCTCTCTTTTTTATTTTTGATTACAGCTTGATTTCACAGGTATGGAATGTTCAGCATGTGATATCGGTAGCCCAAATTTCGCAGGCCGACCATAGATATTAGCTGTGCGTCGGCAGGGGATCGAACCCCGGACCATGTGCATGGTTGGCGAGCTTCATAACCACTATGTGCTGTTTTGTTTCTCTCTTCCTTACAAACTCTACTTAAAACATTCTTCTTCGTCCTTTCACAATCTGTATATCTTGACCTTTTTGTTACCGCCAACGCCAGTAAATATGCTAGTATCTACTTTTCCAACACCTTCAAACATTCTGTTTACTTTTGGCTTTGCTAGCGACATGCAAATATGTTGTTGTCAAAACTAGCCGAGATTACCCATAATCTATATAGAATTTTATTTATTGGTAATGTACTAACTGGATGCAATACTGGAGTGAAATGCTGAGATTCCATTCTGTATCACAAGTACTGTTTTGGAATAAAGCAAATTATTATTATTAATAGACACATTCAGGTCGACAAAATTTGTCAACCGATAAGAAAGAAGCCTCACATACGAAGGGTAAAAGTTCAAGTCAAAGAAACAATCAATTCCAATACAAGTAGTCTAGAGGGTGTGAAAACACACAAAAACAGCCAATCACGTCCAAAATCATCACCAGGAGAGATGATTGATAAACTCGTGGTGAAATCTAAAAGCTCACTTCAATTCAAACTGAAGTATGCGCTGAAGATGTCGCCTAGTAGGGCGATTAGAGCTCCACAAATTAATTATCCAGCTCAGAGAACACAACCACATCAAAATCATCCACCTGAGCTGCAAATCTTCTCCATCATATCGATATATTATTATTCTCTTGAGTTCCTAGAGAAGCAGACGGCTTCAATAGCCCACCTCTATTTCATTGAGTTTTCTGCATTCCTGTTTAGCTGGTTACATGGTAATCTGTTGGGTTTCAATATTACTAAAGTGTTTATGGTAAATGAAACAGAACTTCTAACAAGTGAAGTGGATTTTATAAAACAAATGGTACACTGTAGAATAACCACCCGATAGTGCTGAATAACTGTCTTTTCATATGTCACGTTCTGCAACACTGTGAAGCGGCGGCGTTGTCCATAATCATGCCTAAGTTGATCATAATATGAAGCCGACATATTATTCAATGAATGGGGTAGGAACTCAAGAGTTTTTGCTTTTTAATTACAAACGAATCATGGAATGGTGCTTTTTTATTCCTTGAGTCAATTTAGGAGATAATAAATGATCAAATA